TGTTTGTTACTTATGATGATGGTGTTTTATACTGCGTGCTAAACCTTGAAGCATAATTTTGGGTATTGGCAGCAAAACAAAAGCCTAAAGTTAACGACTAGTACCTCTGAAGCAACGTCTGCCGTACAGCCGAGAGAATATTGCTTAAACTGATACAGAGGCGTAGTTCGTTCTTTATCAGTTATTGAAAAGATTAGCAAATCATCGCGGGCAGCCACTGCCCCGGTTTTCAGCCATTTTCTATGAGTTTCGGAGCTGCAGCCCAACGAGCAGGGCAACGGATAGTCAGGCTTAGCAGAGCAGCTCGTAGTCAATCGAAAACGCCGAAAGTAGATGCCCATAAGGCATCTCATTTTAAGGCGATGCAAGATCCCCCACTTCACCCAAAAATAGGCTTAGTTGCGAATAAGAAGGAAGCGTGTTACGGTTTCCGATTTCGAACCGTGACGACAAGGACAGCTTCTCTGAACATGGCCTACTATGAGGCCATTCTGCTTTAAGCCGGTCCTCGAGAACCGGAAGTGGCAGGGGGGATGAAAGCCCGTGGGTGCCTGGGCCCGTGGGGAACTGAAGCTGTGGGTTTACTCGAAAGTAAGGTGACGGAATGCCGATAAAGAACAAAGCGGAAAACCGAGCACTGGTTAACGTCAAGCTGTGGGGAGCTTCGCTTACTCTAATTTCTCATTTTATACATGCTACTCCTCCTGCAGCCGTTTGCTCACTTAGAACAGACAAATGCTCGATCCCGAGTGACTGCAGCTGTAGAAGAGTCAGTAGAAACGTTAGTTTTCAAGGATCTGCCATCACGACAACTACAAACATCCATCAAACTTTTAACCGAGTCTACGATCCATATGGAACTAGGACCCATCCCGTAAAAACCATCGACGCAATGTAATCTAGATGCGTCAACTCTTGTAACTTTAATTAACGAAAAAAGTCAGGGGTTTCAGGGGTTTTTAGGCTAGCGATGCTCAAAGACTCACCGGTTTAGTGGATCGCTTCACGTCCACTCGGCAATCATCTTCAACGAACAGCTTGGGCAAACATAGTTGATGCCAGCGTCATCGTCTCGAAGCATCGGCATGGGTTTTTCGCTAGACGTTGGCGGTCCACCCAGCCGAGCGGCTTCGTCCGTTGACGAAGCGTAAAGCATCGCCTCGAGGCGCACTCCGTTAACTCCATCGTTACCATGGTGGTCTTCTACTTTCATACTTCCGCAACATATTTAGAATGTAGCCGTAGCCTGCAGAGTCACAGTCTCTGCAACAGTCTACACTACTCTCAGTAGCGACCATCGTCCGCTGCTAGTTTCCCCGCAAAGAAAATGGTCTTTAATTATCTACACTCTTGTTTTACGGGGATCTAGTCAAGCAGCGTTGTCCGGCTGTTACGATAAGTTACAATAGATGGCGGGCGCCCTCGCCCTGTTCGCCCATCTAGTGCTACCTGTATCGGCCTTTCTTGCCGTTACCACTACAGCCATCATTCCAAGTGGAAGAAGGAAAAGAAAACTTCACAAAGTTCATGTTGTACAGAGTTCTTCTCGTTCGACAGCGCAGGACACAGGCCAAGTGCAGACCGCGTTTCGGAGAGTGTGTTAAAAAAGTGATAGACGACCAAAGAGGAACGAGAGAGATGCACGTGGCAAGGAAGAGGTAGTCAAACGATGCCGCTACTAGCTGTCGTCCCGACAGTCAACAACTGGCGCCCGCCATGAAGCGCGGCGTGGACCGCTGAGAGGATCAACACTGGGCCACTGCCAGACACGATGGCACGGGAGTTGTGCAGCAGCGTGGACGTAGGTTTGGCTACGAAGAAGGTATTCAGCGCGCCGCCCAACCAGCTATTTCATTTCTACGCGTCTCTTGATGTTACCCAGTGACGCTTTTACATCAGATATAAAGAGGCCTGCACCGATCCTATAGAGCAGAAAGCTGGCGATGCAGCCAGTATGGCGATTCCAGCTACCGGCACGACTTCAGAATAAAGTGTACATAAATACTTTTTTAAATCCGGCAGCAGACAGCGTTGCGGACGCGCAAGCTACCGTGTGCAACACACATCTAATTACAACAAGTAAATAAAAGTAGATAGACAAGAGTTTATCGTCTCGCCAATACCTTTTGCGTAGTAGTAGTAGTAGCTGATCATCATGCGGAGAAGTGGCTTCACAAAGAGTCTTGTCCTAATCCTATGGTCCCGCCGTTGCTGCCTATTCTATTAGTAAGAAGGGTCTTATTCGTATGTAGTGGTACATAGGCGAGAGCTGAGAAAGAAGTTCGCATCGCTTGGGCATGAAGTAGTAGGACCGCGGTTGACAAGTGTGTTAGAACTCAAGGGAAACGAAGCAGGCTGACAGAACGATTGTCCGTGTCCATCGGATCATACAGTACAGTGAGATGACAGTGTTCTATGATCTTGACTGCTATCTGCCCAAAAAAGAGAACCAAGACACTGCCGGAAACCTCGAGCTGTTCCGCTTTTTTTTGTTGCTCCCACTGCCGCCGTAGGGCAAAGCTACTGAGACCGGCTGAATGGTTAACGGTCACAGCCAGCCAAACGACAAAGACTACGCAAGAGACAGAAGTCGGTAGTTTGCCCTAACGCTTTTGGCGAACATCTCGCTGAACGCCCAGGGCTTTCTTCTAGCGCGACCCTGTAGAATCCCTACTGCCGGTTTCCTTTGACGGCCATCAGGATCTGGTTACAGAGGCATCGATAGAACCTTCCCTCTAAGTCCCTATATATATGCTTCCACCATTAGTCGCTCGCTATCAATGGGCTACCGGGCACTTAGACGTCTTCATTTTCTCACTCGTCCGCGATCCATGGACCGATTCCATGGTACATCAAAACTCGACTCGGAATAAGCCGCGGTCAGTGGTAGCTAGTGGTCTATCGAACAAGAAGGCTATCACTCGTTGTCCCGGATATGGTCGTAATAGTGAAGCGACCGTCGGTCACTTCGTTATGGCACGAGTATCTTTGTGCAGGAAAACATGATAGAAAAAACACCCTCGCCTATTTAGGTGCTTACCTACTGAATCATCCGTAGAAAAGGACGCTGAAAATAGTGCTAGCATAGTTGACAGAGTAAGAACAAGCACTACAACTACAATTACTACGCACTGGGATCGGCTCCACTATCGCAAACACCCATATGGACATATATATGTACATATAAGCAGGTTCGTCCATATCGACAATGAGCAGAACTGAGCCGGACAACGGCCACCATCGCAGCTCACTTTTCCTGCTCTCTTGCTATGATCGTCGACCATAGGTGGGCTACGGACTGTTACTACAGCTGCGAGAAAGACCCAGGCAAGATCCTCATACGATTCCGGATAACACCATGCTACTGGGCCCTGGAGCTTGATTCACTTGCCGATTGTCCAGGCCGATGATCAATAAATGCATTTGTTGCATTCATATTGTACAGTAAGCGATGGTAGATGTGGCGGCGATCGTCGATGGGACCAACCCATCAGAGCAATCCAACAGACTAAGGCGGCCCACAAGGCATAGAATTATCGCATGTTGTTCGAACGACCGCAACTGGGCGACGATACAAAGCCTAAGGATAAGGAGACCCTGCAGACAGGCTTCCCCGCGTTCAGCTGGATCTGTCAACTGCGTCAAGTGTTTGGCGTCCCAGGCGCTGGTTCGTGGTTGGCCGTAACCCTGACTGAAGCAGCTTTCTCCATTGCAAGATAGGCACATTTGCGTCAATGTATACGTGGGGAGACACAAACCACAGATAGATAGGCAGAGAAAGGTAGCTAAAAAAAATTTGGAAGGACATGGATTTCATCTATTACTGTTTGATTAACATCGCGTGTTGTGTGTACTGGGCGAAACGTGTACTAATACAGGGAGCCAAATCTCCACAGACCCATTCATGGTAGATACAGGGCCTTGAAGAACTTCGTTCGGCCAAGTTAATTTTATACCATGCTCATTCGTGCTGTAGTTGTACAACTGAGGGAAGGAGCTGCTGATGTTGATACGCGCTTTTTTCGATGCAAATGTCAGCATCCATAAAGGCGCAAACTGTCCAATAACCAGTTTGAGAAAGGAAGACAACAAAACAAGCGAGAATTTAAGATGCGCTTGATTATCTCGTTTCTTTCGTTTGGCAGACCCAGCGTCCTAGCCTCCTTCTTTTTTCTTTCCCGATCATTCCCTCAGACTCTCGAGTTCCCGCAGTATCGAATATTCTTGCCTCACAGTGTATTTAACGACATGTCCGTGTTACAATGAAATTGCTATTGTCACTACCTATACGCACTAGTGTAAGAACTAGTAATAAATCAGAAACTAAAAAAACCGTCCATAAAATCTTCCATCTTGAAACAAAGATCCAGCAGTATGCCTCAACGGCCAAGAAATACAAGACTGTCGTTCTCTAACATACTGGCCTTGCCTTCAGCAACAAATCCTTGTTTAAGGCAAGAAACTAAAGTGTTATTTATCTTATAGATTCAACCCGTTTTTGCTTTGCCTACGTGCAGCCGTAAATTGATCGTACATGCTGTATCTGCATGGAATTCGTCAAGCACACAACATTTTACAAGAGCAGGCCGTCTTTCTTTATTTGTAGGTTTTATTGACGTCAGTTATTCGCATGAATTAAAAAGTGGTAAGAAATGACTCCGAAAATTGCTAACGGTAAGGCATATTGATGTATGCCAGTAAAAGTAGCAAAAAATAAAGTTAACAACTAAGTACGTTGAGTGCATGGCACTTCATTCATAACATACATAAAAACTGTGTATATAAACATATGTTAGATCATCCTCGCTATTTGAAATTTCAGCAGTTAGGTAACGATGGCACGAATAGCGTGCTCTTTTAAAATATACTGATTGATTGAAGAAGTTCGTACCTATTTCTGGGAAAACAAATATACGTATACACACCTCCAGGTTTTATTTCATCGTAACTACGTATGTCGGCTAGCATGTTTGTTAACTTATATTCATGTCTGGACTCACCCCGGGAGCAGGACAGTCGGCCAGACTGCCGGCTACGTAGTCCATGTTCCTTGTCGCCACGGTGCCGTTGTAGCACATGTGAATATTCTCGGTAAACATCTTCTCGATCTGTCGCAGCGGATAGATACAGATCGCGGAGCGGCCGCTAACTTTTGTCGTATGATCGACGCTCTGAGCAAACGCGCCCACAAAGATTCGACGCTCATCCCTCAGACCGAGCGACCGTGCAAGGTCGGACCCGGCCTCGACAACGGTGGCGTCCTGAAGCAAATTGTAATCCGTGCCGTCTGCGCCCTTGCAAACAAGGCTGATCTCGGTGTAGGTATTGAACGACGGGTCCCCAGCGCATAACCGAGCTAACCGTGAATTGTACCCCAACTCCTGCAGCTGTAGCAAATGACTTCGCATCTGAACGGTGGCAAAATAGACATAATCATCAGTGTGAAATCCGTACACGTAACTGACGAGGTAATAGTCTTTGACAGTTGTGCCAAGATCCACGCGTGCAATGGTCGAGAATGAATGCTCGAGAATGCTGAACAAATCGCCCTGCTCGAGACTTCGACCGGAAATCGCCGGCCGGATGTCACTATAGGTTCCGTAGCGGGTCCGCGTCGTCGCCACGTAAAGCATTCGTTGTTGAACGTCACCATATTTCGCCGGGCCAATCATAGCGAACGAAGACGAATTTTCATCGTTTGTTGCCACCGGAATCGGCACGATAGGCTCCTTGTCCGTAATGTCGCTCAGCTCCATACGCTGACAGGCGCCCTGGTGCGTACTCCCGCATACGATCAGTTTACGGCTCTCTTCATCAATGAGTAAGACTTTGTTGATCGTGTTTGTCGGCCGAGTCTTGTACCCTGTGCCGTTGCAATTCGTGGGCGGACAATGCTCGTGGTCCCATTCCGGACCAGTGGCAACGCTCCGAACCAGCGTTAGATTTTCATTAAACTCCATAATGACGTTTGTTGCACCGGCGAACAGGTGACCTGTCGTCGGATTGACGATAATGTGCGTCAAGTTGACTGAATGATTGCCCGGTAACCGAAATTCACTAACGCCGATGCTGCCGCTAGAGATGGCGCCGGTGCTGCGTCTCCCATTGCTTCCAGGACCGCTGCCAATTAAGCGTACGGCAGGCGCTATTTGCACTACCAAAACACTCAGCAACACTAGACTGAACAGCTGTTCGAGCGGTGACCAGGGACGGTGACGCCGTCGCCATGGCGATTTCAGGTGGGAAGCCGCGGCGCTTCGACGCCGAACCGTCAAGCGAATCGCGGGAATCATCGTCGCGCTTATTGATCTCGTCGGTAGCCCCACTTTCTTTGTGTTCGTCGTGGTCGAGGTGTTGACGAACTGGACGGCTTGGAGCCGGGGGCGACGAAAGCTCGAGGGCTCGTCGACGCGCGTCATTCTTCACGCTTTGGCATAATTTTCGACAGTAGGATACCAGAGAAGCGGACCGGAAACCTGTAACAACAACAACAAAAACGATTAAAGAACAACAATGGCAATAAGGTAGAATATAGGTTTAGTTTAAAAACTCCAAGTGCGATAGAATAGATGGCAACATACGATAATCTTTGCCTAAATACCTTCTTCTCCAACGAATTCTTTTCAGTTCTGTCTGATATGAGGTACATAGATAGAAAATCGACAATGATAACTATGCAAGGGACGCACATATATATACATTCAACTCGGTCTCTTTTTCCTACTCTCACAACAGGCTTCATTTCTTAATGTGTCTCTATCGTCGACGTTATAAAGCTTTATCATCTCTAAGCACGAACCCACCATACTTTGGCTTAATGTTGTTACCTATAGGCAGTAAGCACGAGTAGCTGCTGCAGGGAGCAGCGGCTGTGGCAACGAAAACGGAATTCGAAAAAGCGCGCGCGTAGGACGGCAAAATAGAGCGAGAGGGAGGGGCGGAGTTGAAAAAACAACAGGAGAACCAGGCAACTACTGGTGGAATCAAATGGAAAAGGCTCCTTTTGCCTCTTTATTATTTTTGCACCACTGGAGCTTTTACGCTATTTACCCAATACCGCTTCCGTTCGCCGCTGCCATTGCCGCAGCCACATTCAGGACCTGCCAATTTTCTGGCCGATCTCAAAAGTTGCTCTGCGTAAGGCCCCCTTCTCGCCATCCTTCGCTGTCTTGACTTTTACTTTTGGCCCGTCCTCGATTCTCGTAACTGGCGAAAGGAATCGAAGAGGGAAATGTGGATAATGCTAAAAGGTGAATTCGTTAAACTAGAAAGAGTAAAAATACCTATTTTTGACGCCCGTTAGAGTCATCTTCTGCCAGCAGGGTCCTCCTCCCTGGAAAAATTAGCGCGACAGACAATCTGATTTAAATAAAAGATAGGACCGGTTTGACTCGCTAGTTCCGGAAGTCCTCATAAAATAATCGAGTTCGACAGAGCGAAATGCAACAGCAGGGGGCAATGCGACACGGTATTGCAGCGTCTAGCGTCCAGCATTCAATGCGAAACTCTTGCAGAGGACATACTGGTACGGGTGCCATAGGGCTTATAGCAGGATATTATTTGACCTTTTGCTGGTTTGCCTATAGTTGCTCTGGAGTACGTTCAGACATGTGGTCAGGCATTGGAGCGCCTTAGGCTCTTAGGTTTAATTGTAGGAATCACTGTAATCGGGAAGCACCAGAAGAGATCTCCATGAACTTGCGTTATTTTGTTTCGGGTTGTTTCAACAACTCTCCTGGGAAAACTTTAGTGCGGCTGGCGCCAACGAGGGTGCGTCGAATTCACCACTATAGCTATTCCCGTAGTGGTTGTCTTTCGGTAATTTCTGTTGAAGACTATTCTAAGAGAAGGGACCAGAAAGCGGTCGGTGGAATCGGAATAGAGTTCGTGTCCCACTATAGCTGGCTTCTTTTAGGCCCATAAGCCTGTCGCTTCGCCGCTGTAACAGCCGCGATTCCTATTCGGAAATGGCGGGTGTTACAACGTATTATTGAAAATGTAATCATCATAGAACAGCACTGTCGGCAGGCCACCAAGGCTAGCCACGAAAGCAAACAGGCATTACAACTGTGCCTAACCGACGTGTCGTAGTCAAATGGCGGTGGAAATAGGAGATGTAGACTCACCACAAAAACTTTAACGAAAAGCAAAGGCTTCCACAGAGCTCGCTGTGGCTATGGTGAGCGGGCAAGTCGGAACGAGGTAGGCAAAATGAGACTAGGGCAAAATGAGAACAAGCAAGAACGAGAAAAGGCTGCAGAGCAAGAAAATAAGTAGGAAGAGATAGAGAAGGAGATATAAAGTCTTGAAAATTGCCACTTGGGTGGCGGGGAGAAGTCCTACTTCCTGAGAACTTTTCGCCTTTAATTTCAATTCTATTCGATCCAAGGTACATACTTGTACATAGGCCTTTACTGTTATTGTAAAGCCTTTTACTTTTTCTCTTTTACCTTCGTTGACCCAAGTTATTTTTCGGCCTGTAATTTTCTTACCATTCTCCCGATGCCCAGGAGCTTGAATGAGGCGTAGTAGCCATAAAATGATGGAATTTAGAAGGAACATTGGCAGCGGAATATACCGAAGATGTTTGTGCGGACGGTGGGATACGTTTTTGTGATTATGGGGCGACTGGACGGGACGGTGCTGATGGAAGCATCTAGTTGCGAGGTCAACAGGAAGGCTCACCCGAGAACTTCTAAACGGGACCATGTTTATCCTGCAAGGAGCAAGCAGTCCTATTTACTAAAGATGTGTTGTAACACTGGTGCTGGAAAGCTTTCGCAATTCTGCAGCTTATTCTAGAGCTTCTACAGGCTTTACAAATCAAGCCGCTAGGTTTCCAAGAAGTGTAACTCAATTCCATCACGAGTCTCATTACAGTTGCCAGGTCAACTTCCACATCTCCCTGGGCGCACTCACTTTAGCCGAGACAACCACGTCCGACAAGCCGCCTTGAGTCTGATGGCAGAGCTGCCGTTAACAATAGCAGAAACCGTAGTACCGTCAACTTTAATCGTAACTATGGTGGGACCCGAAAGTAAGGACCCATTTTGTCTTGCAAGCAGACACACTCACGCTTTCAGTTCGGCGGCCTCTCGCGCGTTGCATCATGCGGCTATGTTTCATAACCAACGGGGCGGAAAGTTAACCTCAAGCAACAGCCGAATCCGGCACAGCGGCGGCTGTGTGACAATGGCGGTTCACCGCTTCTATGGGGCTACCTCCCAAAGCCTAACTCTACGAGTAGGACTATTCCTCCACTAGCGTCATCACTCGCCACCGTCAGGCCTCAGATCTTGACCACAAGCAACTCACCTAGAAGAGATCCTTTTACGGTCAGTTCTTTAATCTACTAAACGACTCAGAGACCGTCCACCGACATAAGCTGACGTAATAAAAAAATATAGGTCCCGTGTACGTATAATCAAAATAGGTCAAAGCCTGTGATGACCACGGACATTGTCGGGCCCACCTTCATAAAGAGACAGTGGAAAAAAAGGAAGGCGCAGCCAAAGCGACTATATGCGGAGCTATCACAGGGTGCAGTACTATCACACGTGCCACTATCGCTTGTAAGAGAAAAAAATCAGCTTTGATTTATTTCTCATTTCTAACTTTCTTTTCTTAACTTTTCTGAAGGAGATGATACCTTGCCTTATTCATTCCTGCTGCTACAGTAGAATGATTGGGTCAATTTGACTTTCACCAGCTAAAGGATTTGCCAGCTAGATTTTACCAGCGATTGGGGACGTTTCTAAACCACTTTTGAAAAACGTTTTTGCCGCTTAATCGGCACCGCCACTGGCACGTCGTTTAATCTACCTTCGAAGATTGTATTAGTAACAGCTTTTAGAAGTCCAGGGGGTCACTTCAGCGCATTATTTACTAAACGCAGTCGTTTTCACATGATCCCTGTGTACTATCCGGCTGCAGATCTGTCAGCGCTCTCTGCTCCTGTCGGGTATCCGTTTAGACCCTGACCCACTAGCCAGAGCAAAATCGGTTACCGAAGAGTTTAATCAGTTTTCCAACTCAATTAATGCGAATTGGTTGTGATCTCCTCCAGAGCTAACGCTATGGTTCTGGTTACTGAACTCATTCAGGCCTGCGCTGAATTTTTCAGAACACGCCAGGCCTTTTGGTAAGGTGTCCGATCTTACAACAGCAGGCCACTTTCTCATATATTCCCGTCTTGCCAGTGTTTATTTCGTTCGTATTCTGTCTTATTTCGTTTCATCTCTTGACGTTACTTTGGGACATCACTTCGCAGAAGACAGTCGATAGGCGAACATAGAGTATGAGGTAGCTCTCTGCATGCAGATTAGTGTAGGGTTGTACTTTAGTAGCTTGCTAACTGTTGATTTGAAGAGAAGGGGATATTTTCTGCCATTTGCTTCATACGCTACCGGCTCCTAGACGCACATACGAATATTTTCTGCTGTAGAAATGGTACCGGTGCCAAAAAGCACTGCAGCAATCGCTCGGTAGCCACGGCTCGCATGTTTGATATGAGCAAACCTGCTTGTGTATGTGTATTTGGTCAACAAACTACTATATCTAGCTTATATCAAACTAGAGAAAGGTATCAGGAATTGCATATATAAAGCTGAGCGAAAAGCACCCGGAAATTCTGCGTTCGTATTTACTCTTGGAAACAGGGCGCTTGTTCGAAGGTTTTCTCGTAAGGGCTGGTTGAACAACGGCACGTGTTTTCGGTTCAAGTACTCGTTGCGAACGCAGCCGCGTGCCGGACAGAGACAAGAGGCCCATGCCAACACTTGCATAGGCGTTGCAGCTAATACGAGCCAATGGAAGCACTCCAGGGGATGCGAACCGTCAGAGTAAAATTCACATATCTCAAACTCTAAGATTGCCCACTGCAAACGCAAATCTGGCAGGACTCGAGTCGACTCCAGACCCTCATTTGGCCTGTTTCAAGTGGGAGGTAACCCTGCGAGGGGCGAGGCCAGCTACAGGTCTTGAACTGGTCCCTATGACGACTTTAGTCTACTGACAATCCAAGAAGACCATTCAATCATTTGTCATTAAGCAGAACGCTTGAATAGCCAGCGTTGGGACAGCGGACAAGAATAACGTCGGGAGAAGAAGGCGGTATCGCTGCGTGGAGCCTTTAGTGACTCCCGTTCATCAAACTGAGAGGAGAAACAGAAAGACATGCAAAAGAGGCGCCGGCAGAGACAAACATCGTGAGAGATACATCTGAAGGTTGAAACTTCTTGCGGCCTCTAACTTTCACTTTTACATGTTACGTATTACGACCGTTTGCCAACTCGCAGGCACACTGCGAAAGTATGCATATCACTCACCCAAAGTATTTGGTAAATAATACTTTGGGTTTTCGCTGAGAGATTGTCGCATACATTTATCATTTGTGTTTTTAACGCTATATTTAGCTGAGATACAGTAAAACTGGATCGTTCTCGGATTTATATTACTATTTTTTAATTGATGACTA